TTGCAGCTCCAACACGAGCATGTAGGACACGATATTCAGCATAATCTGTTTCAAAGTCTTGTTCATAAGCTTGTTGCTGCTCTGCACTGTGGATGGCTCTGTATTGACTGCCAGGGTCGGAAAGTTAAACTTCAATTCCATTGTCTCCCAAAGGTGCCAGCCCCCAAGAAGTTTAATCTTAATGTAAGGGGAGCTCTGATGATAATGGAAATAGTAAGGGACTCACAGGAGGTAATCTGGTACCTCTTCAGGACTTGGGGATTCAGAGTCTAAGAAGGAAGCAAAAAGACACAAAGATTATTTTTAGGTCTTTTTTTTTTTTCTGCTGTGGCAGTTTTTATCTTCTCATTAATTCTTACCTGCTTGAACTAAGGGACTGTCCAACCTGGGGCTCATGTCTTCATCATCTTGTTCCCAGTCTTCCTCTTGTAGGTCCTGATTGGGCAGCTCTTGTAGGGGGCTTGGAGCTAAAGGTAGAGCTCTGAGCCTTTTTTCTTCTAGTTCTATAGGAGCTGAAGATGCTGAACGTTTCTGTTGGGGAAAAGATCTATGTCACACAACCAGTAAACAAGTATCCTATTCTGCCCTTTTCCCACTCAAAACTCTCTTCCATACAGTGAGCTCTGGAAGCTTCAAAATGAGGGCTCAGCTATAGGATAAGCACTGGATTGCTAACCACAAGGTCAGCAGTTCAAACACCAGCTGCTCCTCAGAAATCCTTTAACAGAATTGCTATGAGATGGAACTTAACACTTTTTAAATTATAAGCTAATGGGATAAAGGTTCTCTTTGAAAAGTCTGCCATTACAACTTACCTTGTCTAGATGTTTCTGGCTGGCAGAGGAAGTAAGTCTGTGATCAGGCTCTCTCTCAGGACGATGAGTCTGGTTTCTAGGATTTGCAAAATGAATGAGGGTATACCAGAGTAAGAGGTGTGGCTCTCATTACCACATTTTAGGGTGGAGATTAGAAAGGAAGACAATGCTAGGGCCTCTCTGGTTACTCCACCCAGCCCCAAGTACCTCACTTCCCATTGTGCCATGTGTTCCCTGGAGGATCCTGGGAGTGATTGTCCTTGGTTGCTTGCCAGCAGATCTGGCACCTGGCGGGGAAAGCGGTAGGGGCACTTGACTTCCTGGGCATCTGGCTTTTCCCCACTTTATCCCCAACTCCTTGCAGTTTCTGGCCTTACCTCTCCTAGTTCCACCTGTGACTGTGATACTATGTCTCCTTCAGAATCGTCTTGAGTGTTCTGCCAACTCCCTGAATCTCTGGATGCTTCAGTCAGGATGTGTCCCTGAACTAAAGATGGGGCTGGGATAGAATCCATGGCGGC